AAAAAGCCACCTGTAGTGAAGGACGAAATAGAAACCATAAGTGAATCGTAGTACCATTGAGTGATAAAAGTTCATCAGTGGTAATGTCTTTTTGGTTGCTCCAACGGTGATAGTTTATACGTCACTCATGGTTTTCCCTTATCACATTGGCGAATATTATCTTACCACAGTTATGACTTCGCATTTTTAGCCAGACTACAACATGTCTACATCGAACATTAGTTATGGTCAGTGATTTAACACTGGTCCCATTGTGTCCAACCTTACCTTAGTCTATAAAGTTTTTTTGGGTCATTTTTTTCAATAGATGACAAGGAAAGACTCAACTAAATATGTCAGTTATGCAATACAAAAATATGTTCACCAATACAAAGATAGCTCATCTGTGATGGGTCAAAAACCACACCTTTGATGATTACCACCCTTTATACGGTTTTCATCAGTTATCCTCAAGCCACCAAAGGCGAGTGACAAAACCAACTAGGATATATCTCATCTCTGGCGAGCATCGTATCCCAAGTCCATTTTTGTAGGTAGTTTTTCTCATAGAGACATTTATTTCCATGAACGAAGGGATCTTACTCTCACGTTCGAGGCAACTTAACCGCCAGAGTCATTTCAAATGCTCCCTTTTTCACGTATAACCTAGACACAGAACATCTTGCACAACAAATTCACATCATCGTATTCATATCATCAGATTCACATCATCATGCTCACATTGATAGGTTCACATTTATCATCTCACAAGTTATTCAACAAATATCTATAAGATATCACATACTTATGAAGCAATCATTGTAGCATAAGTTAAATTACGCATTGGAACTTACTGACATTCCAATTTTATTCATATGTGAACCAGAGAAAATATTGATCGGTTTACCTGAGTTATATGTCATGCATGCGAGCGAGCTCCTATAGTTAAAATAGGCAGAATTTGGGTGGGATTCAATCCCAATCCCTCATGTATGGATTCCCATAGCAACAACCAACTGGTCTAGCTCTCGTTTGAGATCACACACGAGTTACACACCGCTCGTACCTTCTTACTATGGTATTGAACCTAAAAAATAGCTATTTTGGTAGTGATTCCACCATTCTCCAGCGGGATCCACACTCGTTCACGTGGTTCCATTGATTTTCTTCCATGTCCCCCATCGGATCACACGGTTTTTTCCTTGAACTTTTTACATCTGTTCATAGACAAACAATTTTTGTTTATGTTTTTCTAGTCGAGCTCTTATTGTGTATGCGAACCGACTGAAATGACCAAACCAGTTTTGTCAAGTATACATTCTTATACTATAGCTACCAGGCTACTAATGTTATAGGTACTAGCCTGCTCATGATGAAATTACTAGGATACTCATGCTATAGTTACCAGGCTGCTCATGATGGAGTTACCAGGCTGCTCATGTCATAGTTATTAGGCTGCTCATGCTAAAGTTACTAGGCGACCCATGCTACAGTTTCCAATAGCAATTATGTATTTATCAGCTGTCAATGCTACAGCTACCAACAAGAGACAAATATAGTTACCGCTTTTCGAAACTATAGTTACCAACATATCAACTGTGCAGTTACCGAACTCTCTGTGCTTTAGTGACCAACACGAGACAACTATAGTTACCAGCTGGTGACGCCACAGTTGTCCAGTTTGCTAGGTCGCAGTCATCACCATAGTAGTGATGTAGGTACATGGGTGGTTGCGGCAGGCTTTACTCTTGGAATCGATAACTATCCTTGAGTAGTCCGACATGTAATGTCACCGATAACAACATATTAATAGTACTGAAAAGTTTGGTACCGTAGTTACTTCTTTGCAGTATACAGTCTCTGTATATTATTTGTTGTTTCTGTCTGACTTGACCTACTTCACATACAAAATCATGCAGGTACTTCATTGTAATTGATGATTTGTGGACTGCATTAGTATGGAATATTATTAGCCGTTCTTTTCCACATGGTGATTATTGCAGCAGAATAATAATAACCACACAGATTGATGATGTAGCATTGGAATGCTGCAGTTATAACTCGGGCTATATGTATAAGATGGAACCTCTTAATGATGATGAATCGAGAAAGCTATTCTTTGGTAGAGTGTTTGGCTCTGAAGATGATTGTCCAGTAGATATCAAAGAAATTTCATATGAGATTATCAGGAAATGTGGTGGTTTGCCATTGGCAATTGTAAGTATAGCCAACCTGTTAGCAAGTGAATCAAACAACGTAAAGGAGAAGTGGAAGCACATACAGGATTCTTTGCCGTCCACTTCCGAAGTGATCTGCAATAGTCTTCCACACCTTATGTACGATAGTCTTCCACCTCGTTTGAGGACATGCCTGCTATATCTCAGCATGTATGCACAGGGCTGCGTGATCAAAAAGGATGATTTGGTGAAGCAGTGGGTGGCTGAAGGTTTTCTCAGTCCTGTGGTTGGGCGAGACACAGAAAAGATTGCTGAGGGCTATTTTGATGAGCTTGTCAGCAGTGGAATGGTCCAAGCCGTGGACACCAACAATAACGGCAAGGTGTTGTCTTGTACAGTTCATCAGATGGTACTGGATTTTATTAGGCAGAAATCCATGGAAGAGAATTTCATTATCGCTATGGACTATTTTCAATCAACTCTTGCACTTGCTGACAAAGTTCGCCGATTATCCGTCCAGTTTGGAGGGGTAAAAAACGCATATATACCACAAAGTATCGTAACATCCCAAGTCAGATCACTTATGTTTTGGGGTTTCTTCAAATGTGTACCTTACATTAGGGATTATGGACTTCTTCGAGTTCTGGTTCTTCATATTTGGGCTGATCGACACAAGAAGAGTTTTGATCTCATGGCAATCGGGAAGCTATTTCAACTAAAGTACCTCAAGATTGAATGTAACATCACTGTCAAGCTTCCAGGCACGATTCGAAAGCTGGAACACTTGGGTACACTGCAAGTAGATGCAAGATTATCTGCTGTTCCATCAGATATTGTTAATCTGAAGAAATTACTGCATCTCTGTTTCCCGAGCGAGTCTATTCTGCCCAATTTAACTGCCAACATGACATCACTTCGCACTCTTGGATATTTGGATCTCGGCAGTGACTCAAAAGAGAATGTGTTGCATCTTGGAGGGCTGACCAATCTCCAGAATCTTCAGCTCACCTGTTCTACAGCAAAAAATTTGGTAATGAATGTTCAACACCTAGGCTCGATCCTTGAGAAACTCAGCGCCTTGCAGTCCCTGACTCTGGTACCAGCTGCTTCTGGCTCCTCTTGTATAAATATTCTTGAGGATGGCTTCAGGATGGCGTCTCCTCCTAGCCCGGACCTGCCTCTTCAGAAGATCGAGCTGTCACGGCGCTGTTGCATCTTCTTCAGCCTGCCTAAGTGGTTTGGAGAACTGAGGAACCTCTGCATTCTAAAGATTGCAATTAGGAGACTGTCCATGAATGACACTGATATGCTGAAAGGACTACCTGCCCTCACTGCTCTCACCCTGTATCTCCAGACAGTTTATAAAGAGAAGATAGTCATCGACGTTGGGGGCTTCCAAGTACTCACCTACTTCAAGTTCATGTGTGCTGCGCCATACCTATCCTTTCTGCAAGGAGCAATGCCCAGAGTCCAGAAGCTCAAGATAGGTTTCAATTTTAACCAATGGAGATCACATTCCTTTGGAACAATTGGTTTCCCTCACTTGACAGGCCTGACAGAGGTCTCCGTAAAACTTGGGGTTCGAAATGCTGATGAAGAATTTGACAAAAAAGCTGCACGGTCTGTGGAGGCTGCCGTAAGGTGTCACCGGAACACTCTTATACTCAGATTAAAATGCATGGATATGATTTTTGATGGCACTAAGGATAAGCTTACCACGGCCGAAGAAGAAGAGAAAAAACGCGAGGAGATCCAGAAAGGCAAGAAAAAGATGATGGAACGTTTGGAGGGATATCTGAACAAGCAATTAGTGGATGGCAGGTACGCATTTTCTTCTAGGACTAACTATAACGTGCCATTCGTGTAAAATCTTATTTCCCTTTTCTTTCCTTCTTACCAGATATGCGAGAAAAGATCCACTGACGCATCATGCACAATCATTCAACGTCGTGACGGGCGCCATGAACTCTCTCCTCCCCAAGCTGCTTGACCTCCTCGAGGACGAGTGCACGCTGCAGAAGGGCATCAAGAAGCTTGTCGACTCCCTCTACATGGAACTGGAGGCTCTGCAAGCTGCTCTCTGTGAGGTGGCGAAGCTGGAGGCTAAACAACTGGATGAGGTGCTCAATACGTGGGCCAGGGATGTAAGGGACCTCTCGCATGACGCTGAGGATATCGTCGATTCCTTAGCAGTGCGCGTCGAGGGCTCTGATCCTGAAACAATACTAAAGGCCGGTATTGTTGATATCCTTAGTCCTAGAACCTCTGCGTTGCTCAGCAGAGGGAAGGCCCGCCATGAGATCTCTGATGCCATCGATGACATGATGTCAAAGGTCCAGGATTTGGCCACCCGACGTGAGAGATACAAGGTCGGCGCCCACACCGCTCCTAATCCAAATGCCGCAGTTAGCTTTGACCCTCCCTTGTCGGATGTGTACAAATACCCCAAAGATATGGTTGCCATAAAGGTTCCAAGGGACGAGGTGATAATGATGCTGACAGATGGAAATGTGATCAAGAAGCTGAAGATAGTCTCTATTCTTGGAATGGGAGGATTGGGGAAGACCACTCTTGTTAAAGCAGTGTATGACAAGATTCGACTGCAGTATGAGTACACGGCTTTCGTTTCAGTATCTAGGTATCCTGATGTGACGAAAGTTTTGATGGAGATCCTTTTCCAAATTGACAAGCAAAACTGTAGGAATCTCAGTTTGCCAAAATTAGATCATCATTATCTTATTGATGAAATCAGGAGACTACTTCAGAACAAGAGGTAAATATGCATCCTTATGTATCCAGTTCTTGCACTTCAGTTCAACAGTCAGTACTATCATCGCAAACAGATATAAAGTTGGAAGTATCAGGATTTAATGTGACCATCAGTTAGACTAATAACATACAAGTTGTGTGTCATATAACTAACTAGCAGAGTGACCTGCGTATTTGCGCGGCTAGATTATATAAAATTAATCACCAATGTTATAAATTTTAACCACACACAATCTTCTGAATCTATGTTTTCATAATTCACTATTGATAGGTAGTTGGACACTAAATATGAGATAGCCGGCCTGGTACTATGATGTATAAATATCTTTCATGAATCTTCAACCAAGAACTGAATCTAAAAATGGTGTTCTGTTCGTCGGGACACTTCATCATTAATACTATTATTATCTTATTTATTACTGCAATGCAATATATAAGGCTTTAATCCATTATGGTCATACTCTAATTTCCACATCACAACTAATTTATTGTATTCATTTGTGCATATTCTCATAAACTAGTAAGTGTTCTCTCATCTCTTTAGCTATAGCCTTAGTTATTGTATTCATCTGTGCATCTTCTCATTAACTAGCAAGTGTTCTGTCATCCCTTTAGTTATGTGCCTTTTGTACATCGTGCATATGTGTTTTCATCAAGTTAAAAAAATAGTACAGCTATAACAATATATAATATACTCCCTTAAATACATTTTCTTTGGATGTTGACATGGTATAAAGTAACATGAATAATCAATTTTGATTGTATGTATATACCTGTAAAGGTAACCCAAATTACGTATTATGAAAGTATTCTTCAAGACCAATTCATGCCTTTGATTTTGAAGTATCAAATCTAGACATTTGTGAAGATACGACCGAATACTGATAATCAAAATTTCAGAATTGTGCTGTTGTGTATGTCTACAACGACAACTTTGATCAGACTGTAGTGACCATTTGGCAACATTTGTGACCGTGTTTCTTTCTTCACATGATGTGCTTGGTCGCACATATATAACAGAACAAAATTCTCCTCCAGATTCCTCTTATCCAGTATAAATCTTTCAATCTACC